TCCTCTGATGCTGCTTGGCCTGCTGTGTTTATCCAGCTCTACATCTTGTTATCTCTTGAATTTAATTAGACCCCACTTTGAATTATTTACACAATTCTGGCCTCTGTAATTACAAAAAAGTCATTGAAACAGATTTACAAGGCTGATACCTATAACTAGGAGCGCATAATTATCAGGCAAGGCTGAACAAACTGAGTTGGTCTTCTCTAGAAGGGAGAACTGAGAAGATGACCTGATGGAAGTCTTCAGACTGGGAGGCAAAGATGATGTTTCTGCTGTGTATGAGCCCGGAACAAGGTCTTACATATTAGATTATTATAATTGATCCAGCCAGAATTCCAGAGATACATCTCTGTTCATGGTAAAAATGTGGAACCGATATTATTGTTTAAGTAAATAACAAGTACATTTATGGGAAAGTTAGATACTTAAAGTAGGGAGAAAGGGGTAGAAAGATGTGTTGATTGGCGAAGATCTATGTGGGCCTTAAATATCTGCATAAACCTGTTGGGAGATATGACATTTCTGATGTAACTTTCATGTAATTCTGTCATACTGCATCATTCTCCTTTCTTACCAATATGCTAATATTACTTAACTTCCTGTCTACTTTTTCTATTCTAATTTTTTAATGAACGTATCTATACTGAAATGTTGATGGCAATTATATCCTCCGGCCGGTGAAAATGTATTGTAAATGTGGGTATACAAATTTCTAATTGAAATGCTCATGGAAAGCCTTCTTACCTTTGAGTGTTGTATAGAAATTGGACAAAAAATGCAAGTTTTTAAAATGGATAAAATCTAATGTTATATAATTATATATCATTAAAATGGGAATTAAATTAGATCAACATGCGATCCCTGCCGATTAACATTTTGTTCATCTAAGATTTACATGCTTTTAACTCCAATACACAATGCTTCTAATAAAAATGACTACCTTATTAGAAAGATTCTCAGGGCATGCACATCCTGCCTGATAATCACACTTCCATTTGTAACATTTTTGTATCAAACTTTGTCATTATTTAACAGTAATTTGAGTCAATGAATGTCGCAACTGCTTAGAATTCCATCATTCGGCTATGAGCTGGTTTGTGTCAAATTTCTGGACTGTTCCTTGCAGCTGGATTTCCATTTTTATTTCATGTTTCTGAATCATCACATTTTTCATATCCGCTTGATTGGCACTACATCCACAAGCATCCACTCCCTCCACCACCAATGCTCAGTCACAGTAGTGTGTACTATCTACAAATGCACTGTAGAAATTCAGCAAAGATCCTCAGACAGCACCTTTCAAACCCATGACCACTTCCATCTAGAAGGACAAGGGCAGCAGCTATATGAGAACACCACCACTTTCAAGTTCCCCTCCAAGCCACTCATCATCCTGACTTGGAAACATATTGCTGTTCTTTCACTGTCACTGCGTCAAAATCCTGGAATTCTCTCCCTAACAGCATTGTGGGTCAACCCACAGCAGGTAGACTGCAGCGGTTCAAGAAGGCAGCTCACCATCAACTTCTCGAGGGCAACAAGGAACAGGCAATAAAGGCTGGCCAGCCAGTGATGCCCACATTCCAGCAATGAATAAATGTTTAAAAATTTCCTAATTCACTTCTCTTCCCCCAGTCCCCCAACCCTAATCTATTGGAGTTTAACAAATGGGTGCCATTGTTTGCAATAGTATGGCTGCTACCTTCCAGCAGTTTTTGTTTCCATCCACTATCCCTCATAAGGGCATCTAAATTCCTCTGTCCTTTTTACTATTCACGTTATTATTCTATCTTTCAACCCATCACCAATCTAAACACTATATCCCTGGCACAGCTTTCTCCTCCTCCAGTCTCCAATGATGCCACAACCTCATCTTGAATGTCTTCACATTGTTCTATTTGAGTATAAAATTTGTGTTATGTGTTTTCTGTCCAGCTTTTTTACATGTATTATTTAGAAAGAGGTTATGAAGAAAGCCCTACACTGTGACATTTGTAACTCGTGATTTGTTACTTAACTTCAGGACAAGTGCTGTTGAGGATGGATCGATAATTGCTTGTGATTTTTCTCCTGGTGGAAACTACTTTGTAACTGGTTCAACATCTGGGGAGCTGACTGTCTGGGATTGCCAAATGAAGTGCCTTCTAAATATGAAAACAGCTCATGACTTGGGAGTCACCTGTTGTGTATTTTCACCTCAGCCAATCAATGGTATGTTTTATCTGGAATGTTTCCATATACGTTACTTTAAGTATTTGAATACTTATGAAATAGTACTTTGAGAAAATTGTCTGTGGATCTTTTGAATTAAGTATCAAAGGTATCATTTTGAGCATATTGAGTTCAAATGACAAATTTGAGGACGAAGATAAAATAAGAAATTCCATTCAGCTGTAAACTTACTGATTTTTTTTTTAAAAATCAAAGGCAGAACAAATAAAATGTTTAATCAGGAAGTGAACATATTTTCAAAAATATGAACTGTGCTGGAAACACATTGGTCTCTTATTTTGAAGTTGTTTGTAAAATAGGGCTCTGATTCAGCCACTCTACCTGACTCCACACGTACGCTATGACTGGGGATTTAAACAAAATTATTGGCCACTACTGTCATAACAGAAGTGTGAAATGATGAATGGAAACAGCAGAAACTGGGAACATTGCACATTTTATGTGCAAAGTTCAGGATTGAATGGAAAGAAAGATGAACTGCATCAGTCCAGATGAAAATGTTTTCCCATGTAGTTTGTCAAAGCCGTGTTCCGTGTTGAGCAGTGTTGCTGTGTTTGGTTGGACTGTTGAGAAGGCAACTAGATACATTGATTTGCCACAGTCGGTGAAAAGCCGAAGAATAGTTGGGTAGTTTAATGCATTTAGGACTTCGGAAGTTCTAGGAACCATTTGGTGCATCTGGAAAAGATGAGAGCTGATACTGATAGCAGGAAGAAAAGCTGAACAGTTTTCACATTCACTGTCTCAAATGAATCTTTGGCTTCTCTTGGCATGCTAATTTGGTTAGCATATGCTCATTGCAAAGCCAATTATGTATGAACAGCCCTGTTGTCTTCCTTTCCATCAGATGTGGCAGAGGCTGCCATGCAAGAATGGGACTCCAAAGTCATACCAGGTGATGTTCATCTCCGGTGACAAGGACCATGCAAACCATTGTCTTGCAAGGCTGAATTCCGGTGCTTATAAGCATATTCTTGTCTTATGTTGTTCATAGGTTATGTAATTCATCAGTTTCTAAGTATTTTGTACACATTGCTGCATTATAACTTCTTTGCTTTGTCAGGTGACATGAATAATTCAGGATCAAATTGCTTTCTGATGGCTTCTTGTGGTCAGGACAACAAAATTAATTTCTGGATTATGTCTTGTCAAGAGCCAGCAGGTATGTTGTATGCTTCAAGGTGTAGGCCAAACATTGCCTCAGCTTGTCAATGCCACTTTCAATTAGGAAGAGAGACACTGTATTAATTATGGTTGACTGTTGCTATCCATGAAAATTTTATTGGCTTCTCCATATGTCTTCTGATAACTGACAATCTTAGTCATAGTTCTATTGTTATCATTGTGGAGGTTGTAGGGTCTGTACTTGCTTTTGTATTATCAAGGATTTTATCTTCTACTTGTTACAATTTAAGTTAATGTAGAATATATTAAAATCCAAATATTTGCAGTGGAGATTCTGGCATCTAGATTGGCAATGATTCCCTACATGTTTCACATCACTTAGAAACCTGTAAAGGGAAGATGCAGCTATCCTCATTTAGCTTAAAAGACATGCTGCAGTCAGTATGGTAAACAAAATTTACTTTCCAGTAAGAAACATGTAATAAGGTTGTTCTATGTTTCTGATGTCTAATTTCTACATTACTTAGCTGTTGCTGTGTTGAACCGAACTGGCCCAAAAATTTTGTTAGATTTTTTTTTCTTTACATTTACTTCCGCTTGCTGGTTTCCTTTCCCAACTTATGCTGTTGCTCCTTCCTTTCATCCTTAGTATAAGTCTGAAAGTGAAAAAGGATCCTTTTTGGAAGAGTGATCATAATATGGTAAAACTGAGTTTGGAAGTGATGTACCTAAATCTGAAACTGAGTATTGAGCTTAAAGTCAATTAGTTGGGTATGAGGGCAAGAAGGCTAAGATTGTTTGGAAAATTAGATTTAAAGGTATAACAGTAGATGAAAAATGATAAAGAAACACTTCACAATTCTTGAGAAATTATAAACTCAGGAGAAGAAATTCATCACTGACTAACTAAAGAGTTTAAGAAAAAAGTTTGTTGTATCATCTGGAAGAGTAGTAAATCTGAGGATTGGGAGAGTGTTAGGTAACAATCAAAGGAGGAGCAAGAATATGGAATGAAAGTAATTTTCGCAGAAATACAAAACAGATTGTAAGATCTTCTGCAATTAAGTAAAAAGGAAGAGAGTAGCAAAGGAAAAGCTGACTCCTTAGTGGTCGAGGTAGGAGAAATTAGAAAAGGGAATAAGGTAATGAAAGAGATATTAAGCAAATATGTTAGTCTCTGTCTTCAGGGTACAAGGCACAAAAGCATGCTGAAAATAGGCATGTCTAAGGCTCAAGTAAGAATCTTAGATCTTAATAAAGAAAAATTTCTAGAGAGTTCAATGGGACTGAAAATTAAAATTTCCCCTGGGTTCGATGACCTCCGTCCACAGCTTCTAAAAGAGGTAGCAGTGATGACAGCAGGTGCAATGGTTTTAATCTTCCAAATTCCCCATATTCTGCAATGATCCTTACAGGTTACTCTATAGCCAGTTCAATGCCATTCTTTAAGATAGAGATCTTTGTCAGTTTAGCCTGACATCAGTCATCGGGCAAATGCTGGAATCCATTGTTCTGGAAATGGTAAAATTGGTAATAGGGAACTTAGAAATCATAATATGATTATGTAGAGTCATCATTTCCTATGAAAGACAAAATAAGATTTTGTAAAGGGAGGCGATGGTCTCGAGGTATTATCTAAACTAGGAATCCAGAAACTCAGCTAATATTCTGCGGGCATGGGTTCAAATTTTGCCACAGAAGATGGTAGCATTTGAATTCAATTAAAAAACAAGATAGAATTAAGAATGTACTGATGACCAAGAAAAACTTATCTAGCTCGCCAATGTCCTTCAGGAAAGGGAATCTGCCACTGTCACTTGGTCTGGCCTACATGTGACTCTAGATCCTCAGAAATGTGGTTACTGTCAACTGTCCTCTGCAATGGCTTTATAAGCCACTTGATTCAAGGGTGGCTAGGAATGGGCAATAATTGCTGGCCAGCCAGTGATGTCCATGTCCCACAAGTGAATAAAAGAAAATGTTTATTAGTTTTGTTGATGTCACTTACAGGATAGCTAAAAGGGAAGCCAGTGGATTCATTATATTTGGATTTCCAAAAGATATTTGATGAAGTGACACAAAATGTTATTGCACAAGATAAGGTTTCTTAGGGTTAGGGTGGCAATATGTTAGTATGGATAGGGGATTATTTAAAAGTAAGGTTCAGGATTTCAATTTGATGGCTGTTACTTCTGGCATGCTGAATGGATCAACAAAGCAAATGGAGTTGACTTGGTGGATTTGTCATGGTTCTAGTAATGATGGAGCAAAAAGGGCTGCCTGGCCTACAAGTGCTCCTGTTTCTTACATATTGGAGGAATCCCTAGAGGAGTATAAGAACAGTAGGAGTATGCTTAAGAGGGAAATCTGGAAGACGTGAGATATCTTTGGCAAATAAGATTAAGGAGAATCCAAAGAGATTCTACAAATAAATTAAGGACTGAAGAGTAACTAGGGAGAGAATAGGGCCCCTTAAAGATCAACAAGGTTGTCTATATGTGGAACCACAGGAGATGGGTGAGATACTAAATGAGTATTTTGCATTAGTATTTACTGTGGGGAAGGATATGGAAGCTAGAGAACTTGGGGAAATAAATAGTGATGTCTTGCAAAAAGTGCCCATATTACAGAAGGGAAAGTGCTGGACATCTTAAAATGCATAAAGGTGGATAAATTCCCATGACCTGATCAGGTCTTTGTGGGAAGCTGGCGAAGAGATTGCTGGGCCCCTGGCTCAGATACTTACATCATTGATAGCTACACGTGAGGTGCCAGAAGACTTGGAGGTTGGTTAATGTGGTGCCATTATTTAAGAAAGGTGGTAGGGAAAAGCCAGGTAACAATAGACTGGCGAGCCAGACATCAGTGGTGGGTAAGTTGTTGGAGGGGACTCAAAGGGACAGGATTTACACACATTTGGAATGGCAAGGAGTGATTAGGGAGAGTCAGCATGGCTTTGTGCATGGGAACTAGAGTGTCATTAATTTGATTGAGATTTTTGAAGAAGTGATGAAGAAGATTGGTGGACTTCAGCAAGGCGTTTGACAAGGTTCTGGATGGTAAACTGGTTAGATCACATGGAATCCGAGGGAACTTGGATACAAACTCCCTACTTCCAATTCCTCCGCCCCTGCTGCATCCACTTCCCGCACATCCCAGTTGTCTTCCTATTTCAAGGACCATAACTGCGCCTCCACCCCCCAACCCCCCGGTGATTGAAAATGCCCTCAAAAGCATCTCTTGCGTCTCCCACACCTCTGCCCTCATATCACCTCCCCCCAATAAAAACAAAAATAAAGACTGAATCCCCCTTGTCCTCACATATTACCCCACCAACCTCCGCATCCAATGTATCATTCTCCACCACCTACAATCCGACCCCACGACCGAAGATATATTTCCCTCCCCACCCCTATCTGCCTTTCATAGGGACCGCTCTGTCTGCGACTTCCTCGCCTGCTCCACATTCCCCACTAACCCCACCACCCCTGGTACCTTTCCCTGCAACAGCCGGAAGTGCTACACTTGTCCCTACACCTTCTC